TTACACTCTGTGTTTATTTTGTTCTTTAAATATTTGACAATGGTTTCGGAGCGACATTTTGCCAATGTAATAACTTCTCGGGGATTACTTTTTAATTTTCACTCTGCTCGCGTTGTAGTTATACATATATGTGTATGTTCTCTCTCTGCATATATCAACGCGGAGAGTAACATGGTGACCAAAAGTGAAAAAACGCTTTCCAGTTTACGCAGATGTAGTAGAAATCCAATAGGTTTGTGCACAATCAGTATTATTTGTTTATATGGAGACGCATTCGTTGGGCAAATGAAAGTGTCGTTCAATAGACAAAGTAAAATGCAATTCCACGTTAAAACCGGCAATCCCACCGCTGTCCCACTGTTGTCCCACCGCTGTCCCGCGCACGCCGCGCTGCGTGACGTCATAATGTCGACTCTGTAATGAATCCGAGCTCTACTCTTTTATTTCAATTGAGAATCATAACAATACTGTTAGATCGCAGGCGGGGGCGGGGGCGGGGGCGGGGGCGTGCGGTGAGTGTTGGAGGGGGGTGGGGGATAATGATCTGATCGCAGTAATTAGCGAGGCAACAATAGCCACATCATGAGCACGCCTCTGCCGCGGACATGTCGCCCCAACGCCGCGGCGAGGTCGCGATCTGCGCTCGGGTTACAGTCTCGCGTATTAAATATCAATTGTTAGAGTTTATTCTGCTGGAGATGATATTTCTTTATCTGTAAGGTTAAGTTATCTTTAAGATTAGTCTTGACTAAGAACTAATTATTTCTAGTTGTACAAATGTATACTGCACTAAACAATATGGTTGTTCTGTGATCGTGTACAATATTATGATAGCTGACTGATAGTCAACAGAATATAAAAGTACTCGAGCGTCATATTAATATTAAATTATTCATAGATTAGATGCGCGATGTCCACCGCCGCCGGCTTGTAATGCAATAAAACCTCATATTAGTGTCGATCCATCACGCGTGGGACTTGTCACCTGTCGTCTGTCGCGGCCCACTCGCCGCTATTGGCCGCTGCCGCCGGGCACATAACTTATCGCGCCCTCCACCGCTAATCTCTCATGTTTCGATATCAACAGGATTACAGGCAAATTATTTTCTACAAAAATTGATAAACACATAATAATGGTAATTATGTTGATAATTGTTATCAATGTTTTGTTTGCACACATGCGGTGCGCAGTGACGTCACTACTTGCAACAACAATACGAATGCATTTGTGAGGTTGTAAATAGCTGTCTGTGAGATATGAAATTGGAACGCATCAAAGAGATATTGGTTTGCCTAAACTAGGAGTAGAGCAGCTGCGAGCGCGGTGCGTGCACGTGTCGTCGCCTTGCCGCCGTCGTGTAGCCGTCGTGTCGTATCGTGTCGTGTCGTATCGTGCTTGTGCTAATTGTTTGCTAACGAGCGCGATACCGTCGCAAGTTACCTGACTACAGGATGTTTATATATGTACATATAAACAATACTTGACTATATACTCATAAAACATTGTATTTCTTTTATTCTCAACAAAAAATGTAGGTCGATATTATAATGTAGAAGAATACATGAAAATAATAAGAAGGTAAAAAATATGTGTCACGTGACAGCGCACTTTTGTCAATGATCAATAATTAATCGATTCTTTATTATTAACTTGTATTTTAAGCTACAACATCATATCCATAAGTAAGAGGCTCAGCGTAACATATAAAACATCCTGTGCCTCGCTGCCACTGAGCAAATCGTCGCCACTCTTCACTCGCCACTCGCCTGTGACCACCCGACATGTATCGCCAGCTCGTCGCACAAGTTTGTCTGCTTGTCTATGCCAGCGCGTATGGAGATGGTATGTTTCATTGCTTCCAACTGGTACCTCCTTGATGTATCGCAAACAATTGCCACCCAGTGAACACCACACACAGTGAAGCACGAAACTTTTTAATGAGATCGTTTGAATCCGAATGGTCTTGGCCTAATGGAGACACAATCAAACGTTAGTATGTACTTTGTGTATTCGCAGACGGGCGGCGCGCGGGCCCGGCGGCAGGCACGCTCAGCTCGGTGGGCTCGTTCGAACGCTCGCCGCCGCTGTTCCGGCCCGGCTCGCAGGCGTAAGCTCACACTGCCACCACAACCAACATTACTTACGTATTGTCCAATGCTAACTGTACAGTGCCTGGGAATTTATTTTTTAATAGTTATCTAAATATAGGCGATCACCGAAGTCTTTAGACGTCAAAAACACTAGAACTGACGAGTCTGTCGAGTTTAAGGGAGATGTAGACGTCAGGTTTGTGATGGCGCATGTCGGAGTCGGTTGGGAACTTTCAAAGAAGTATAGAGATTGTTGACATACAAGTTGATAACAATTAGCGAGAAACATGAAGTACGAATGTGGGAGGTTGAAGGGTTGATGAGTAAGCAGTTACAAATGTAATTCCTAAATGTTTGTTGTGTCAGGTACGTGGTATCGCAGTACATAAAGCCGAAGCCACCGCACCAGTACTGGGAGGAGGAGACGTCACTGGCGCTAGTGCCGGAGACGCGCAACTGCTTGCTGTGTGAGGCGCAGGACTCCGGCGCCTGCCGCGCTATGCCGTCCTGCGTCTACTGCGAGCCCACAGTGACCGCACTGTGTGAGCGCAGCACGCCATGCCTACGCTGCACCGGTACCCTGCACTTTCATCTCTTACCTGTACCTCCTGCGACACCTGCGATACTTCTACTGTATCCCTGTCTTCTTTAATGTCCTGGTATTTCTCCGGTGAAAATGGTATCATGCTACAAATTGTTGTCACTGAGGGCTCTACCACTCTAGAACGGGCGAATGTGCAAATAGTTCATTGCTCTGAATTGGTTACGTTGTAATATTGTACTTTATGTTTCAGTAATCAAGAACCCGTTCTTCAAATGCATCCCCGGGGAGAAGTACATGGACGAGTGCGACTCGTGCCGCTGCACCGACGGCCACGGAGGCTGGTGCACCAACCAGTTCTGCGAGTTCCGCGCCCTCCATCTCTACGCTATCAAACTATCCGACGGAGAGTTCTACTGACACCAACCACGTCTCATCAAACATCCTGACATACTTATTACATTGTCATGTTACAGGATTGAGTTAAAATTTAATCTAATACATTTTAATAAAAAAGAGAACCACATTTTACTAGATGTTACAATGTTAGTTTGACGTGGCTTGATCTTAATAACGTTTTTTTTTTATCTAATAGAATCTCACAACATCCCCGAGATAATAAATAAAAATATTTACAAGATGTATAGAAATCTTTTAAAGCAGATCAATTAAGTCATCTAAGTTCCCATAAGGCGAAGTACTTCAATAAGAATAAAACATACAGAGTATAATACACCGAGCTGCGCCGCACCGCGCCCCACCCCACCCCACCCCACCCCGCCGGGTCTCCCCTTACT